AGAGAGAGAGAGAGAGAGAGAGAGAGAGAGAGAGAGAGAGAGAGAGAGAGAGAGAGAGAGAGAGAGAGAGAGAGAGAGTTCTCTATGACGATAAACAGGGGGCTGTGACAGACTATTTCCGAATTGTCGGATTGTATATATAATATATACATAGTATACACATCGATCTATCTATCTATCTATCTATCTATCTATCTATCTATTATATATATATATATACATAGAAAGAAAGAGTGAGAGACGGAGATGAGAAGGTACTTTTATCACTTACTAGGATGGTGATGAGAACGCTGAAGAAGAGACCGAAACCGAGGACGATGACATAGCCCACCCATTGATCGAGAAACGGTTGGCCTCCGAAAAAACTCTCTTGTCGAACACAACTCCCATCTGTCTTGCTCATCCAGTAATTCCCCGACGGACTAAATCCAGCAGGAGGACACATGCCTGCACCACCAGCTGCCGCCATAGCTAAAATCTCACTCGACGATATTTTGACACTCTCTTCGCAATCTCAGACTCCCCTCCAGGCCCTCTCCCCCCCCCTTCCCCCCCCCAAAAAAAAACTCTCCTCTCCTCCTTCTCACCTCCCCTCTCCTCTCTCTCCCTTCTTCTCCTTCTCCTTCTTCTTCTCCTTCTCCTCTCTCTCTCTCTCTCTCTCTCTCTCTCTCTCTCTCTCTCTCTCTCTCTCTCTCTCTCTCTCTAGAACATTTATCGGACGTGTGAAGATGTGATTTGAGGAGCAAGCAGAGAGTCAGCACGCAATCAGACCAAGCGCACTCACTGTGACTCACATATAACCCAACTGCCGTAATTGAGCAAAATTTATGACAAGAGATCTCCAATTTATCCTTAAATATCTGCACAAGATTAAAAATTAGAGAACCGAGAAGATCGCCATAGACACGCAGCTATGGCGGAAAAGAGGAGCTATGGCGTCCGCCTCCTTTCGCCTTCTCCCCGCCTCCCCCCGCTTTCCCCCGCCTCCTCCCACCCACCGCCTAGTCGTAATTCAAACCCGGCCCCGGAGAGTGCAGTCGCGACTCGCCCGGCATTCCCCCCAACTACTTTGGACAGCCCACAGCCGCCATTCGCAACCCTTGGAGGGGGATTTATCTGAAATTGCCAAATTGGTCGTCTCGTGCTCGCACCCCTTCGAGGGGGATTTATCTGAAATTGCCAAATTGGTCGTCACGTGGTGGGTGATTCACCAATTGCGGTGCGTCTGGGGGCGAGGTCCCACTAGCAAAGAGGATTGGATTCACACCTCCTGAATCTGGACGTGTTTAAAGCAAAGATGCAGACACGCAGTGGAGTCTGGATTTCCTGCACCTTTCCACGAACACGTCTAGAGGAGCCTCGCCTCGGGAGTTTTTGTTTCTTCTCCTTTTTTCTCCCTTTTTTTTTTTTCTGTTTTTTTTTTTCCCTTCTTTTTCTTTTTTTTCTTCACAATTCTCCCTTTTTTTCATTCCCTTTTGGACTTCGTTTCTGAAGGGAAAAAAAAAAAGGAGCACCGCTTTTTTTTGCTTCTCTTTATCGTTCGATTTCCTTCTTTTCTTTCCTTATATTAACAAAAAAAAGCGAAAAAGGAGCCCTCGCCCTTTCTTTTTCTTTTTTCCCCGCAGCGGAGGATTTAAAAAAAAAAAAAAAAAATCTGACAGAAATTCTCTCTCGCTCTTTTTGTTTTTTTTTTGACGCATAGCGAAGGTTTGTTTTTTGTCTTTTTTTTTTTGCGGGGTTGGGGGGAGCATAGCTTAGTGGATTATTACTTCTTTTTTTTTTTTTTTCCCAGTTCACCGATGTTCGCCTGCATTTCTGCACCTCCCACGTTTGCATTATTGCACCCCCCACGCCCATCCTCGTTCGAAATCCTTTTTCTTTTTTTTTTTCCTTCGTTTTTTTTCTTTTTTTAAAGCTATTTTCTTCTCTCAATTTCACCTCACACTACCTACCTACCACTTCTCCTACTCCTAAGTGTTGTAGGCATACGGCGAACACCGTAGCAGCCACCCAGAACCGTTTCCCACAACCAAAGAGGAGTGGATTGAACGCCTGAATCTGGCTGCGTTTGTGTACAAGTGCAGAAAATCGAGATTGAACTCCTTTTCTGCATCTCTGCCTAAAACACGCCCAGATTCACGTTTTTTATCCAATCCCCGTTGCTAGTGGGACCATGCTCCAGGAGAGGACATGCCGGGGCTGCTCCTTTTTGTTTTTAACAACGATACCGCCACTAACCTGGGCTGCTTCTTTTTCTTTCCCACTACCACTAGAAATTGAGAAAATACAAAAAGGAAATAAATAAAAATTAGAAAAAAGAAAGAAATCGCGATCTCGTGGACGGTCACCACACTGGCAGCAGAAAACCGCTCACAAGCTCGCTGGTAATGCGGTTGGCTGAACTCTTTTTTTTTTTTTTTTTT